GGCTGCAGCTCCAGCCGATCGCTGCACAGTGCCCTCTGGATGTCTCTGTTGCTTCACATTTGCCTTGCCAAGGGAGCATTTGTCTAGCAGCACAAATACTTCCAAAAAAATGCTAGTCTAATCGATCTGGATTCTCTTTTGGTACAGTCTAGCAATAGTTCGTCACAGTGAGATTGGAATTAGAGCTTTCGATGTATAAAAGTAAGATTAGCAAGGCCACTGGTGGATAAAGCAATAGCAGTGACTTTGACTACGACAGTGTCCGTGGTTTTCAGCTGGTAATCTCTCTTCCATCATTTTCCTGTTTTTTACATGCATCCGATTCCAGAACTAAGACAAAAAAATGCACTTGTATGTTTAGTATGTCCATTACTATAATATACTCCAGCCGCAGAATGTAGATAACTGACCTCGTCCTGACTTCAGAAGAGTCAAGTTTCTTGTAGGATTTGTGTTTTGAGACAGTATCTTACTCAACCATCTGTTCTAAAAAGGCAGATCTAATTGTGAACAGAGGTCCAGATACCATTATTCCAGCTCACATGATTTACACATGCCCTGGGAATCACAGCTCTTTACTTAACATACAGTTCAGAGACACTGTTGCTCCAGCACATCACTGCTTGTATTAAAGGGCATGGCCCCTGCCCTGCAGGGCTACAGCCTGGGCCACAGAAGGACGTATTTCGATGACAGCAACGGGTACGTTCACTTCAGGCTAGCTGTTGCAGTTACAAGTCTACATACATAGTTTTAAACACTAAACCAAGTGTTGAGTTCCTGAATGAGGAGTTTCTACAGACAGACCCGTTTCTATATAGAAGCAAGCACATGCTTCTTGCCCACGGGCACTGGTACGCTCCTGCATAGCCTTTGGTACCACAGGAATTGTGCTTAAAGATGAGTCTTTTTAAGGCATTTCAAATGATTCTTCCATTACAGCCCTTGCTGCGTTCCCCGTTAAATGTCACAGAAAGATAGCCCTCCTCAGCCTGAAGAAAGGTCTGCCTTACATAAGCATGTTAAAAGTAGGATTTATACCAACATCTGTAAGAGCAGCAGCTTATGCCAAGATTCTGGTCATCTCTCATTTAAAAATATTTCTCAGATGAGTAATTCATCCGCTACAAAATACCAGGCTGTAGTCACACTCCAGCATCAGACAAGTCCACTGACACAACAACAAAGGTTTTTAGCGGTCATTTCTGAAATCATGTATGTTGGAACTACATGACTAATCTGAGAATGTAACATTGCTTATTTTACAGGATTTCTTGCGGTGCGTCACTGCTGCCATTATTTACTTTGCCATTTCAATTGCTGCTGTCTCAAAATACAATGACGGAGCATCTAAAGCAGCAGGAGTAAGTAGATGTGAGCTTCCCACTTAAGTATTGTGGTAAACTGCATATGGATGTACTTTAGAAAAAAATTCAGTTTTGACCCCACTGCAAGTAGCAGAAGTTTCTTCAATTAACTGAGAATTAGATTTGCGTAAAGCAAGGAAGAAATTGACAGTTATTTAGAAAAATAGGGTTTGAATCAATGAATAGTTTTTTTATCCTAACAGTGCTGCTTAATGTTAACTGTACTATTTCGGGAAGGCACCTATTCTGCTTTTTAATTTCATCAGCTATAGAGGGAAGATAAACTTCTCTGTTCCTGCAAAGAACATAAAGATCCTTGAATGGAGAGAATAACAATAATAAAAAAGAAATCAAACCTGTAACTACTAAGGACAGTCTAAATTAAGTAATTTCAACCTCCTGCCTCTACTGCTTAATTTTACTTGGATGAGTTAAAACAAGAGCAGTGTCATTTTACCCTCCAGCATATGGACTACCCAGGAGAGAGCCTTCGTTGTCAGCATTTTATGTTCAGAAATAAGATACAGCCTCTCCATCTGCAACCTGACTCTAAGCATCAATAATGTATACAACATAAATAAAATTTGCATAACTATTTTAAAAGATAGGGAAGAACAATACCCAGTAGTGTTAGCCAGCAACCCTGACCAAACCACCCCAACTCACACAATTTCAAAAGAAAGACCTTGTTTTAATCTTTGTCACTCCGTTCAGACACGGAGTGATGCAACACAGCCTTTGCCCCAGCTTCTCAGACTGAAAACCAGCCTATTCTCGCCACACTTCTGCTTCTTTGACACTAAATAGGTAACTCCAGAATCATTTTATCTCAATCTAGTTCACTCTGCAATAGACACGTCTCTCTGCAAACCAGTTAAAAATTATTTCCAGAGAAATCAAGGTGATTTCTTGGTGGCAAAGAGATGCCCTGGGAGGTGGAGGTGCAGGTTACGTTCTCCTGTAGCTCCCACCACAGCCCAGTGCTGACACTCAGAACATGCCCAGAGCCAGAGAGGGACGTAGCCTGGGGAAGGGCTAAGGACACATCTGATAGAGCAACTACAGGGATCACTACTCAGGCTTCCAAATTAGCTTTGATTTAGTTGATGACAGTGGGTCATGAGATATTTCCCTTCCATGTCTTTTTAGAAAGGCACAGGCCAAAAAAAGGAAGCCCAAGTTTTCTTTAAGAATTTTTCTTGTGTCAGTTAGGCTTATTTTGGTTTGTCATCGATGGACTTGACTTGTTGTTAAAGAGAGTATTATTTTGCCATTTTAGGTGTTTGGATTTATAGCCACGATAGTGTACGCCATTGATTTCTACATAACCTTCAATGACCTGGTTACTTTTCTCAAGCAAGGCAGTTCTGATTCCCCTGAGGAGCACAAGTCAGAAGGTAGGTAAAATTCCCCGTTTTGGTTGTAAGAGCAAACGGTTGTAAGGTGAGATTTTCTTCTCCATTTCACCCTTCGCAAGGGAGCAAAAGCACTCACTCCGCAAGAACAATTTCTGTTCTTAGCTACCTTGGGTTTGTATGCCACAACTATGCTGCATTATGTGCCTGCTTAGTCTTGTATATATAATCACTGAAATTCCAGTTGTTGTATAAAGATAACTAGCAAGCCAGGAACGTGAAGTTTCCCAGAGTTTTGCACCATCTAACTTTGAAAGGCCCAAATCCAATTACAGAAATTATTGTGCAGCACAGACTTTTTTCCTCCCATCAAAATGTCTTACTTTAAAAACAAACATCTACTTTATTTATAACTTAATTAACATCCATTAGTCCAGTCTTTTATGTCCAATAGTGCTTTTCTCTTTATCATCTCTCTATCATGATTATCTCTTATTTAGGGTCAAGCTTTGACCATCTGTGGGCAAATGGCCTTGAAATCATGGGCCACACAGCATAAAATTAACAAGATTGTTACCAAATTGCTTTCTAATATAGGAGGTACAATCTACCTCAAATCAGACAGATCCACTTAGACAAAGATAAAAAGAGGGATCCACTGTTGGGATCTCAAACCCATTCCAACTCAAATCAGGACACAGGTAGCTACTTTGCAGTACCCAGGAGCCCAAATCAGGCATCATGCCCCTGTGATACTGCTCATCGTACCCACACAGAGGAAAAAGACTGTTTTTAACTGCAGAGCAAACAAAAAATCCCCAAATCCCCAAAAACCATCCCACACAAAACCAAATCCCACAAAACCTGTCAAAAACAAACCCCCAAGACATGCACAAGACATAGAAGGTATATAGTAATGCTAACAGTATTTTCTAGGTATATTAGTAGACTGTTAAATGTTTTGCAAGCTTTACACCAGAGAGACAAAGAAAAAAAGAATTAAAGGAACAAATCATAGGAACAGACTGTTAAGACTAAAAACTGTTTATCCTCACAAACTGAACTGACCTCAGAAGATCAGGTGACAAGGGTACAAAATTAGGCTAACGATTGGATCTCATTTCCCTGGAGATGGAGAGAGAAACATATAAACTTACAAATATGCAGTCATGCAGCTTTGTGTTGACGATTTGACCGTGCCAGAAGGGCTTTGCCCTGCAGCACTGTTCCTCGGCACCAAACTCGTGGTCACGCTGAGGCTCTCAAGTGCGGAGGCCAGAAATCCCTTGCTTCCTTGCAAGCAGAGTCTTGAGCTTGGGCAAGATGTACCTCTGTGGGCCTGTTGGGATTTCGTAACATCTTAAAGCTTCTGGCTTTCAGATAGGTTTAACTGGCAGTGGGTAACCGTGACCCACAGCAAACAGCGATGTTCTAGTACAGGAAGCATGTCTTCGGCAGGCTTCCTCTTGGTGGTCAGTCTAGTGTCTCTGCAACTTCTTTCCTCTGAACTGTCATCTACATTGTAGTGGTCTCAGTACCTCTCAGCAGAGTTTCTCAAGTCCTTTGAAACACCATTTAAAGCTCCATCATGTAAGAACTGTCATTTTACAAGTCTTTTTCTAAATATGCCACATTCTTTGAAGCAGGTACCTGCTGAAGAGAAGCATATCTCTCTCAGCAAGACCTAAAGCTGACACAGAGATTTCTAGTTTTCATTTTCACTTTTGTTCCTTGTTTTAAATTTCAGATGAGAACTCTGATTCTGACTCAGACTGAAGAACCGAACACCAACCAAGCGTGAAGGGAAGATGATCAAGCACTTTCCTCTTTGCTGAATGCACTGCCAATTGAATAATCTCCCTTTTTTTGGCCTTGGTATCCTCTTTCCACCTCATTGCTTATGGAATCACCAAAGCACAGACAGGGCAATGATGTGGAAAAGGAGACTATTCCCAATGCCATTAGACAGTCCTTCAGAACTACGGATTTCACAGTAGTTCAACCTGCCACAGAGGTCTGTATCCAAACAACACATCTCAATTCTCCATTGCCCCTCCTTAACTCAGCTCTACAATGTACTGACTAAATGGGAACACGGTATTTTAAATGTATAAGCAGAGCTTTTAATATGCTTTCCTAATGCCTTATCTTTAACACTTACAGCTTTTATACTTCGTGCTGTGCCAAAGAAGAGGCTCAGAATGCCTCTACTTTATTTGCATTTTTCTTGATTAACTAGCAGTATTTCTTTATCTGAAGTCTGAATATTCCAGTATCTCAAGCACTGAAAGCATGGATTATAGTTAACATGTTGGTTTCAATACATTTATATCTACTGCCTATCTGTGACAAGAAAAAAATGACAACTGGAAATCTCCAGCAAGAACAAACCTCAAAGTATAACTGTGCCGCAGGGTAGCTCGTTCATCAAATGTTCAGTATCACTTTTTTTAAGCTGCTTGGATGGGGTGACATAGCATCTTCTGTCATTTCACCACAGATAGAGGTAGAACAGGTGAGGCATCGTCTTACCAGCCCCCTTCCTACCATTTGCATGGAAGCCCTGGTACGTGTTTGCACGCACAGGTAAAGAAGGCTTGCCAAATACCATCCAACAGTATCTGCCTACCGAAGCCTGCCAATACCTGTGTGCAAGATATCGCTGTCTGATCTCGTGCTCTGTGTTGTGAACACTGGTCTTCCCACGAGTAGCGAGCGGCGCTGGACTTAGCCCGCTGGGTTCGCAATACAGACAACTGTTTCTGTAAAACTCAGGATACCTGGGCCCCTGGAGGGCAATACATCCTTCCCACTGTGAAAGGGCAAAAACCCCAACCTTCAAACTAAAGAATGTCTGCAATGAAATTCATTTTCCTAGACCTCTTTTTTTGGTGTGTTTGTGTTTTTTGTTTTGGTTTGGGGTTGTTGGGTTTTCCTCCCCGCCCCGGAAAGACATGATTTATCTCGTGGTCTGGTATCCTGGGGGAAAAGCCTTCTGAATTTACAAGAAGGTGTTTTCATGGGTGGCACAACCTACCTTGAAATATTCGTGTCCACCTATAAATGCATACTGCTTGGAAGAAGCATGGCATGCTCCTTATGTATGGCATCAGATAGGTCTATTTCAAAGAAACCTGTATACATTGAAAAAAATAAAATCAATATAGTACCAGAACAGGTGACCTTAACAAAAAGTAATTAAAATGAGAGCAGATGGTACTAACATAGTAAATGAAAATCAGGGATAAAGCAATAAAGGCAGATTTCCTTTGGAACAAAATTACTGCTTGGGTTCCAGTTCCCTGCTAGCAGCTGGCTGCTGACAGGCAGAAACACGGTACCTAACAGCGCGCAGGTGCTGGGGAAGGTGCTGGCCAGATTCAGCGTTGTCTAACAGGCAGCTCCTGCAGCTCCTCTTTCCAGACCACTGAGGGAAAAAAGCAAACAAGTGGTTGCTTCTAAATGTGACAAATCATCTTTGCCATTATGAGAGAGAGCTCTTGGGACCTTTTCCTGTATGAAATTCCACATTTCTTTCTTTTCTGTTGTCATGTTTTACTGGCACGCACTGTGACATCAGGGGACCTGGGCTCATTTTTATATTCAATTGTTTTGTATTTCTCTTACTTTTTTTTTAATTAAAAAAATGTACTGCATGTCACAGTTGGAAACTAGTACATGGTTAATATTTAGAAACCATGCTGGATTAAACCTCTTTTAATAGAAGTGTCAGGTGTCTTTACTTATTTTAAGACCTGGTTTTACTGCCTTGCCTCTGACCAGAGAGAGTCGTGGTGTTCCAAGGAACTCCATCGGGCAGGATGCCGCGTGCTGGGGAGGCGGACAACAGCACGGACCCAACACTGGAGACCAATCACTCAGGCTTACATGTCTTGCAGGAGAAACTTCGTTTTTAGCATATAAGCATGAAAAAATTAAACCAAGAATTAGTTTTAGCATATTTAGTAGACACTGGAGATACAGTGCTCTTACTTGGCAACTAATAACATTGTAAACAACAATGCCCACCTAAAATCTGCTAAGGTTTTCCATTAATTTTTTCATGTTAGAGTGCTCGTAAAATCAACAGAAGAGGCAAACAAAACTGCTCGTTAGTTGCTTCAGGACTGCTTTAGCAGCCTTGCAGTGAATTGCTTGTCCAGAGAATTTCCTTATTAGCATTCAAGTATTTGATGATTTCATTTATTTCTAAGCAGTTTGCTCCCAGGGTCAAGCACTTGTGTAAGATCCCAGCCTTTTATTTAAAAAGATCTGTTCCCATGATTGAAATAAAATACATTTCTGTATTTTATGAATATAATTTCAGAAAATAGAATTGGATTAAAAAGAATTACTTTAAAGCCAATTCTGATTTGAGGGGGGGCCTGACTCAATCTTTTGTTCATCTCCTGCCAGCAATGTTGCACTAAGCTCAGAGTCTGGTGTAGGGCAGAGGAAAAGTCTGCTTGGTTTTTTGGCTTTTGTGTTTGCTTGGTTTTCCTCAACTGACAAGATCAAAATAGCAGGAGCACTGGTTTCTCTGCAATTCAGGATTCTCAACACAAACATAAGGCTACACCTGCAGCATGGAGGCCTTGTTGAAGTTCCTATTTTGGTGTTCCAGCAGGGTCATAATCAAACATCTCTTTTCAATCACAATACATTCTTCTTCCAAGCAGGAGCCATTTCCAAAACCTGTAGTGACTAATATATGCCTTCATTACAACTAGGGCGCAGCTACTCCCATGTTGAATTCCTGTGCTTGTTGAACATCATTCAGCAGTAGACAAACCTAAGGAGTGATGAGAGCTTCCAATACCAACTGTGGAACAAATCTACGTAGAAACAATGCAAGAAGTCTTATGATCTAAAATAATCAAAGCAACCAACACGAAGGAAAAATGATCATCTGGCATCACAGATGAATGACTTCATACAGTTCTCATACTGTCTGAAGGTCTCTCTCCCTCCTTCTCCCATCAAAAAGCTTTTATACTTACCTGTGGAAGCTTCGTTCAGTCTTGTGCGGTGATTTTGGACAGGTGATGTTAAGGAATTTGAAAGACCTTCCAAGCAGCCTTCTTAGATGTGGACTGAAATAAGAGGCTCAACTGCCCTTTTAACATTCTGTCCATTACTCCACTTAATTGTGCTTTTCATTTGATTCTGTTCAAAGTTCTGCAAGTCTTAAATTTCGAACTGACTAATTTCCAAAATAATAAGTGAAAAGTGGTTTATCTCAGCTTATGTGCTATTTGAAAAAAATGCTTCCACCAGCCTGGTGTGTTGGGAAGCAGAAAACAATTTAATGCTCTTGCATACCAAGCAGATGTTTTTCATTCATTAAGCCTCTGGTAAATTATTCATTGTGCAAATTTCTAAGCCTGAATTTTATAGCTGCATCTTCCCCTGCTAGGAGACCAGCAGCCTGTATCATTAAGTGAGCATGTACTTGTAACCAAACACTAACAGCACATGTTTTTGACACCTGCACTTTTAAAATGCATAAATAAATGAGAAAACATACATATTGCTACTAGGCTGAACTAAACCTTATAACAGGCAGCTTGAAACCAACCTCATCAGATTAAAAATAATAAAATTAAGTGCCTTCATTCCAAAGACCAGGATACAAACTGCCTCTGAAGAGCAAATGCAAGATACGTATCACCATGCATATGTAAAAATACAAGCAGCAGCTCCACCTAGCCGTCCTTTAATCTTTTTTTGAGCGTAGAGAAAGAGAGAGAGAATACATCAAGAAAACAGAAGAAATTTAGATAAGCACCGAGAATGTGAATCTTGTAACAAGATGCTTGAGATACCTTTTTGCATGGAGTATTGGTTTAAAAGTCAGGATGGAGACACCACCTCGTTTTTCTTCTAAATAAACAGGACTGCATCTAAATAAACACATTGCAATGCAGATTCCTCCTTTACTGGAAGAATTTACAGTACTCTGAGGGTTTTGGAAAAATTCTAGGTCAGAAGGTAAAACATAGCTACCCAGAAAATTTAAGTGTGGGTTGTTTTTTTTTTTTTAAAAGAAGTCCATTTTCCAATCTATTTCCTTGAAAAAGAAAACAGTGATTCCAGTATTAATTTTGGCCAGGTAATACCTGTGCTTTTATTTAATGTATTTTGGGATCCTGTCCATCACATTTTGTTAGTGTGATCCATTAAACAGGAAATCAGTTATAGTCTTCCCAGGAAACTGAAGGAAGATTCAGTATTTAAAAGTGAGACAGAATAAACTTCTTTTTTTAAAGGAACACCATGGATAATGCCAGATTGCTGCTGATATTGTTAAGTCCAGCACTTTAACCCTTTGTTTTCTGAAACAGCATCAGTTACATTAACACCTGATCTCTAAGCAGGTCCAATGGATGTAACATCACAAGAGATGAGGATCTACTGCTGACAGCTCCACACAGGCAAAATCAACTGGCCCATCCTGTAGCAGAAAAGTTGTACAAGCACATGACTCTCCTTAGTGAATCCTTCTATAAAAGCTCCATCGCACCTCCACCTTTGTCCACCTCCGCACACAAAACACTGCTTAGGGATAATGTGTAAGAGCATCATCCATATTCCCAAATCTTGCCACAACACTCCTTCAACCATCCGTGCATTCTGCAGTTCTTAGCTTGTCTTATCAGAGACATGGTCACCAAAAAAAAAAAAAGAGACAAACTCAGACAGGCTTGGTTGGTTTGATGTTTAACCCCTATGTCGTTGTCCTGCAGAGGAAGTGTATTTAGCAAATGCACTTACTG